TGTGTGTGTGTTTTTGTGTGTGTGTGTGTTTTTGTGTGTGTGTGTTTTTGTGTGTGTGTGTGTTTTTGTGTGTGTGTGTGTTTTTGTGTGTGTGTGTGTCTGTGTGTGTGTGTCTGTGTGTGTCTGTGTGTGTCTGTGTGTGTGTCTGTGTGTGTGTCTGTGTGTGTGTCTGTGTGTGTCTTTGTGTGTGTCTGTCTGTCTGTCTGTCTGTCTGTCTGTCTGTCTGTCTGTCTGTCTGTCTGTCTGTCTGTCTGTCTGTCTGTCTGTCTGTCTGTCTGTCTGTCTGTCTGTCTGTCTGTCTGTCTGTCTGTCTGTCTGTCTGTCTGTCTGTCTGTCTGTCTGTCTGTCTGTCTGTCTGTCTGTCTGTCTGTCTGTCTGTCTGTCTGTCTGTGTGTGTGTCTGTGTGTGTCTGTCTGTCTGTCTGTCTGTCTGTCTGTCTGTCTGTCTGTCTGTCTGTCTGTCTGTCTGTCTGTCTGTCTGTCTGTCTGTCTGTCTGTCTGTCTGTCTGTCTGTCTGTCTGTCTGTCTGTCTGTCTGTCTGTCTGTCTGTCTGTCTGTCTGTCTGTCTGTCTGTCTGTCTGTCTGTCTGTCTGTCTGTCTGTCTGTCTGTCTGTCTGTCTGTGTGTGTGTGTGTGTCTGTGTGTGTGTCTGTGTGTGTCTGTGTGTGCGTCCGCTGCCTCTCGCCGCCCAGGCGCCCCTCCCGCCGCGGCCCAGCCCGGCTCTGAGTGGGCCGGGTTTTTTTTCCCTCCTGCCCGCGCTGGATTTCCTCTCGCCCCTCCTCTTGCATCGCGGCCGAATTCGCATCTGTACGTCCTACACATGCTCTTTCCGCAAGCGCAATCACTCTGCCGAGCCGCCGACGCAAAAAAGTCTGTGTGAATGTCTGTGTGAGTGCCGATGTTACGCCTTCCGCTGCAGCGCCACCAGAAAAGGGACGTCGAGGTGGTCAGGCGCCTCGCCGGTGAAGCCGACGAAGATGTGCAAAGTCCAACCGTTCGCTTGTATCCAAAGTGTTGGCTTGACGCCGGGTGTGGTGCATCAGCTTCTGTTTGACCGAACAGGTTGGTTGCGCCCCTTGACGCCCGTTTGGGGTCTGCAAACCTGCCCACCCAGCCCTACTCAAATTACGCCCGGTGCCTGCCCGTGGGCGCTGGCGTCTCGTGCGCTGGGCGGCCGATCAGATCGCACGACGCAGTTTTTGTTCCTTCATTGGGTGCACCACACGGCTTGCACAGCACAGTTTCCACCACTTCACAACGCACGCCATAAACAAGATGCGCCAGAGCAACCCGCACTTGCAGATAGGAGGGCGGGGGCGCGGGGGCGAAGGTGTTGCCCCCATGTTTTTTCTCCCCCACGCGATGTTCCCATGCATTGCCTCCACGCGCTGCCCCCAAATACTGTCCCCAAGTATCGGCCCCAGGTATCAACCTCATGTGCTGCATCGACCCCACGTAGTGCCCCCACGTATCGCCCCCGTGGATTGCCCCACAGCAGCGCTTCCAGACTTTGCCCCCGCGTATCGCCCCCATGAATTACCCCCAAATATCGCTCCCATGACTGCCCCCACGTAATGCCTCCTTGTGTCGCCGCCCCCGTGTATTGCCCCAAGTAGTGCCCCCCAGTATCGCCCCCACGTATCGTCCCCAGTGTCGTACCATGCGTCTCCCCCATGCGTTGCCGCCAAGTATCCCCCAGAGACAGACCCCTCCATCCAGCCACGCGCGCGCAGGGAAGAAGTACGACCGTGCGCCCCCATCGTTCTTAAATCCATATCTACATGCGTACATATATGTATGGAGATAGACATACGTAAATACATACATGCATGCGTATATATACAAACAAACACAGATGCACATACATATACACATACATGCATGCATGTGTGCATATTGCTTTATTTATTTCTATATATATATAACATGCGTACATGCATACATGCAAGCAACCATACATACATGCATACATGCATGCATACCTACATACATACGTACGTACATACGTAGGTTGCATATGTGCATACTTGCATACTTACGTACATGTATACATGCATGTATGCATACATACATGCATCATACATACGTACACTTATACATGCATGCATGCATACATCATACAAAGAAGCAGTCATGCGCCTGCAGACATGCATACATGCATACATACGCCCATACATACATGCATACATGCACAAGAGCACAGGCTACACCACGTCTCGTCCAGCTCGTAGATTGCACCGCAACGTAGACTGCACCACGTATCTTACATCACATACCTTGCGCCATGCAGCTGACGCATCCATATTGGAATTACTTGCGGCCTGGGGTTCACGCATGCAACCAGTCATTGTACATGGAAAGCCGGAGACACACTGTTCTCTTCACCGTCAGATGATATCTCACCACGCTCTCTGGTTCGGACTGCGACCGCCTCTGTAACCGAGCCCGATTGTATCGAGTCTAAGCCAGACGCGCAGCATGAGTTGGTATACAAGTCTCCCGATTTGGAAATACAGTGCGAGACGGCAAGGACTTGGACCTTTCTTCCTTACCCTGTGCCTATCGGGGACATCACAACCACACAGGACTGCTACGTGGTGATAGGTGTGCGCGCATGTGCACATGTGCTCTGGCGTACCTGCCACTGCGCCTGTCCGCTTGAACCTGCCATGCGTTGGTCTCGGTGCGCGTCTGCGCATGTTGCTGTGTTGTGTGTGTGCGTTTGTGCGTGTATGTCTGTGTGTATTTGTGAGTCCTGCACCGTCTTTGCCGCCGGTCCGTGCCACGCTCGCACCGCGTTCCTGGCCTGTCTTGTCTCTCGTCCTCGCCGTGCCTGGTCCCGCTCTGCCTCGCTTTGCCGCCACGTACCGTCGCACTGGCCTGTCGGCGTATCTCTTCGTCTTCGTCTCCCCTCCCCGCCCACGCTGCCCGTTCCGGCCATGGGCATAATCTCCCCGGGCGGATCCATGCCCCTTCTTCTGAGGGTTCGACCGCGCGCATCCGTTGCTCTATTCTCCGCACAGTCTACTACGCCTCGTCGCTGCACGGAAAGCCGCGGCGTCAAACAGTGCGTTTGTGTGTGAGAGAGAGATGGTATGTCGTGCTTGCGTGTGTGTACGTGCGTTTGCGTGCATGTCTTGCGCACAAGCCATGCAGAAGTACTGTGTGCATGCGTGTGTGTGGGGTGTGTGTGTGTGTGTATGTTTGCGTGTATGTGTTTATGTTCGAGTGTGCGTGCGTGCGTGTTCCTGTGTGTGTGTGCGTGTGCGTGTGCGTGTGTGTGTGTGTGCGTGTGTGTGCGTGCGTGCGTGCGTGTGTGTGTGTGTGCGTGTGTGTGCGTGTGTGTGTGTGTGTGCGTGCGTGCGTGCGTGCGTGCGTGCGTGCGTGTGTGCGTGTGTGTGTGTGTGTGCGTGTGTGTGTGTGTGCGTGCGTGTTCCGGTGTGTGTGTGTGTGTGTGCGTGTTCCGGTGTGTGTGTGTGTGAATGTGTGTGTGTGCGTGCGTGTTCCGGTGTGTGTGTGTGTGTGCGTGCGTGTGTGTGTGTGTATGTGTGTGTGGTGTGTGTGTTGGTGTGTGTGTGTTGGTGTGTGTGTGTTTGTGTTTGTGTTTGTGTCTGTGTCTGTGTTTGTGTTTTTGTGTGTGTTTGTCTGTCTTTGTGCGTGCTGGTGGCGGCTCAAGGCGGCCACCTGTGCGGTCGCTCTCCGCGGCTGGCGGTTGCAATCAATTCGCCTTGGCATCCTCTGAGAAAAGACGGAGGACCCCGCACCCGCTGAGGCGGCGCATGGCCGCCCAGTACGCACCGGTCGGCGCCAATGCTGCCGAGTGTGCGCAGGCGGGGGCCAGCTCGGCGGGCAGCCGCGCCGAGGCGTCGGGCGCGGGCTGTCGCGAGGCCGCGCCGAGGCTACCGGCCCGCCTCGCTGGGCTGGTGGTCTGCGGTGCCTCTGCAGTGCTCGCGCTGCGCGGGGCGCCAGCGCGGCCCGGCCGCGTGGCCCCAGCTCCCGCGCGCGCGCCGCTGCAGTCCGCGGGGCTGGACGCGGTGCGCCTCTCAGAGGACGCCAGGTCGGGCGAGGCGCCGCCGGCTGGCATGGCGTGCCCCGCCAGGGCAGAACTGGAGGGCGCTCCCCAGCGGGCGGTCTACTACAGTGCGGCGCAGGCTTTCAGCTGCATCCTCCCGCCTCCTTCTTCAAAGCAGGGCGCAGTGATGCTCCAGTTGGCAAGGTAGCCCAAACAATACGCAGAGGGCCAAGTGGAGGCACACTGCCGCTCCCTGAACAAGTCTTTTCCAGATGCAAGCAAGCTCCAACACGAGCGTGCACAAAAAGCAACAGCTTACAACAGAAGCATCATCAGAGCACTCGAGTTTCGGGCCTTCCTCCCTCCTCCCCAGGCATTCAGGTGCATGGACCGGGACGGCAGCCTGGAGGTGACGCCAGACGAGATGGGTCCTGGTCATCTGACCAGCGACAGCTTCCACTGGGAGCTCTTCCTCCAGAGGCTGCAGCGCGAGCAGGGCGACGCGGTCCAGGCGGCGCCGTCCGCCGAAGCCAAGGTGGGGAGCATGGCGCAGAAGCTCCTGGCGAACAAGCCCACTGGCCCCGAGCTGTTGCAGCGGGAGCTCCAGCGGGCCGCTGGCCGCGAAGCGCCGGCGGCGGCGCCCGTGGCGAAGCCCCTGGCAGACAGTTTTACCGAGGCGGCAGCGTTCAATGAACAGCCGGGGATCGTGTCGGGCCTCTTCACATTCGGCGCGCCGCCCATCTCGGAGGAGCAGGTGTTGAACGTGGCGGCCCCAGACGGCTGCTTCCCGGGGCTGCGCGTCTACAGTCGCGGGACCCGAGCGGTAGACGAGATGGGTTTGTTGATGCGCATAGCCGACCCCGTCGCTTGGCTGCTATCCCCCTTGGGCTTCAAGCACCCCAGGAGTGCAGCACTGTCACTCGACGTTGACAGCCTGCCGTCTTCTGGCTACAGCTAGGGAAACGAAAAAAAACATAAGCATAAAAACTCGGAGGTCCGCGCGGATTTCTTGGATCCGCGCCGGACCCCCCTCCTTGGCGCGCGGAGCGCGCCGAGGGCGGCTCCAGAGGGCGGCGCCAGAGGCGCCGCCAGTGGGCCCCAGCACCGGTCCGAGAAATATGCGCGGACCTCCGAGTTGTTATGTGTATGCCACTTTTTTTGTTCCCCTAACAGCGTGTGCGCGGCAGACGCAGATGTCTGGCACTGGCCGATGGCCGACATGTTCTTCTGGTTCGAGGGGCACAGCCCGGGCCGCTATCAACGAAGCCTCACCGACGTCGTGGCCGCCGTTCAAGGCTTGCGTCGGGCAAGTCCCTCTAGAGGAGGAACATTCAAAAATTATCGAAACATAGTTTTGGGAGGGTTTTTCGAATATTTTTGAAAATGTTTCACTATTCTTGATCTTTCGTCCAAAATCCGCCTCGAGGAGGACATGCCCGACCCTATGCAAGGCTCTGTGGCAGCCGGGAGCGCCACGGGGGCCATCATGGAGGTCCGCAGCGAAGAGTGGGCCGCGGCGAAGTCGTTCGCCGAGGCGGGCTTGGAGTGGACGCAGGAGAAGAAGAGGCTATCGGGCAAGCAGCTCCAGGTGAGGTCCGTGGACAGACCGGGCGTCGTCGGGCTCTGCGCCGACAAGGATCGACTAGACGTAAGAGTGACCTTTCGCTGGAGTCACCTCTGGTGCGGGTTAAATGGGGTCCCCCGATCGCCGAACGCGAGGCGGCAGTGGCGTGTTGCACGCTTGTGTTTGGCCCCCAAGCGGCCCCCCAAAAGCCGCGCACCAAAGGTCACTCTTACCCAGGGCCACTCTTACGTGTAGCCGAAAGGAATGCGCGAGCGCGACGGACTTCCCAGCCGATGTGTTGAGGAGGGCTCCGTCCGAGAGGCTTCTGCGCGACGGCCAGGTGGGCGACGACTCCGCGGGCGAGCGCCTGGGCGAGGTCATCAGCGCTAGCCAGTACGCAGACCTTTCTCTTCTGGCGTACCAGGACCTGGAGCAGGTGAGCGTGGAAAGCAGCCTGCCGAAGCTCGGCCTAAGGCTCGTGGAGCGCGCGCGAGGTAACGCCACCGAGGCCCTCCTGTTCCAGAAGAACTCCTCCATGGAGTGCGTGCTGTCGTTTGGGATGCTGGACCCCTCGCTGCTGGCGATGCAGGGCGAGGCTCCAGGCGGCCGCGGGCAGGCGAAGAAGACTTTGCCCACTGACGCGGTGACCAGGCAGTTGTTCTATTGGTGGATGCTACTCTCGGGGCGGCAGCTCCCGCCGCGCGGCTCGCCAGACTGGAGGGAGGCCATGACGGAGTTCTCGCAGCGCGGGCTGGGCAAGGACTGGGAGGATCCCACCAGCGTGGTGGCGGCAAATACTTTCTGCGGGTTTAGAGGCGTGCAGCGGTTGCTGATCAACATCACACGCGACTTGCTGCTGGCACCCGATTGGGGGAAGGTCATCAGACCTGCACTGCCGAAGTGCAGCTCTGTGAACGCCACTGGCCACGGTTTCGGTGGCGCCGTGGCGACATTGTGGGCGGCCTGCGCGAACAGTAACAGGACAGATACTGATTTCAGGCTCGCCTCATGGCACGTAGGCAAGCCCGACAGGTTGAAGCCAATGTTCCCTGGGCAGAGCAGTGGCATGATGATCCGTAACAAGAGGACAAAAGGTTTGCTGATGGAACTGCAGGGCCTTGTGCTCAGCGACCGCTCCCCAGACGGGGCGGAGCAGAAGTGGGTGCTAGACGGGCGGGGCCGGCTCATCAGTAATCAGACCGGCGGGTGCTTGATAACGGTTGGTTTGGGCAGCGTCGCAGTGAAGCCTTGCGACGAGTTGGGGGAACCCGGAGTCGCTGGCGTCCGCGACCCCCCCGACTTGTGGGAGTGGGCTGGACAGGGCGCAGGGCCCGACCAGGGCACTGGGCCAGACTTGTTGGTGCACAAGCGCACGCGGCAGTGCTTATCGGCTTCGTTGCGTCTGGAGCGCTGCCCGCTCACAGCCCAGACGTGGGTGCTGGATCCGCAGGGCCTGGTCATCAACCGCGTGAGCGGAAAGTGCCTCACTGCCGCGGAGCCAGCATCAGGCAACTTGGAAGGACCTCCCGCGGCTCTCGCTCCTTGCAGGCATCCCGCGGACCACAGTCAGCAGTTCAAGTTGACGGCCGATGGGCGTCTGAAGAGCAGCGGTGGTTTCTGCCTGGACGTCAACAGTCAGAGCGGCACCGCGGCGCCACCCCACCTGGCGCTGCTGAGTTGCGCCAGACAGGGAAGCAAGACTGCCCAGAGGTTCAATGCCACTTTGCCGTGGAAGCCCCTGGACAAGGTGCCCGGAGTGTTCATCGTGAGTGAGCTGACTTTGAAGTGCCTTGACACAAGCAGTAATGGAGCGCCCAAGGACGGCGACTGGGTGGTGTTGCGGCAATGCGAGTTTAGCGGCGTGGCGGCAGACACAAACGCACTCTGGGAGCTGCAGGGCACGGGTCAGATCGTGAACTGTGGCGCCGACCGTGGTCTGAGGAATTCGTGTCTTGGCGTCAGCAGCGCTGCCACAGGGTCCACCGCCGTGTTGCTGGATAAGTGCGACACGTTGGTACGCCTCAAATGGAACGTCACGTCGGGGGGTCAGATCCGAACGTTCCTCGGGTCGCGACAGTGCATCGCTTCCGATGGCGCGTCGCTGCACATGGACGAGTGTGAGAAGGAGTCCAGCAACCAGAGCTGGTTCATGTCGTCAGAGGGTTTCTGGTACAACGTCGTCCAGGGCAAGTGCATGGACGTGGCCCCCGACGGCCGCCACCTCGTGCCCGCGAAGTGCGAGCTGTCGGACCAGAAGTGGCGCATGACCCCCGAGGGCTTCATCGAGAGTCAGCTCAGCCCAAGCCCCTGCAAACGGGGCGTTGGTAAACGCGGCGGTAGCTACGGGGCTTCGTCAATCGAGAACGGAGTGACAGGGCATCTACCTCGCACTAGTGCGCGATACATCGGGACGGCAAAAGCGTCGATACATCGTCATTACTCTGGGCGGGTGGATCTACCTCGCACATGTGCGCGGCAGCTCCCTGCTTTTGGACACACCCCTGAGAACGCACCCCTAGCTACTGGCCGTGTACTGACGCCCCGTCTGCAGGGGCTTGGTCAGCGGCCTCTGCCTGGACGTGCAGGGCGACCCCCCGGCGGACATGACCGACGGCGCCCGCCTGGTGCTCTACCCGTGTGAGAAAGACCAGCGCGTCGAGAGCAGCCCGACGGGCACCGACCAGCTCTGGGCTCTCGGCAGCGACGGCCTGCTGAGGAACCGCTTCGGCGAGGAGCGAGCCCAGAAGTGCGTCGGGGTGAGGAGCGGCGTCCTCGAGACCGGCAAGGCCCTGGTGCTGACCCCCTGCACGGAGGTCGGAGGCTTCGCCCCGCACAGGTGGAACCTGACCAGCGACGGCTTCTTCGTCAGCTTGACCGAGGACGGCCCAGACAGGAAGTGCATCGACGTGTACGGACCTGCCGGCCAGTCCGTCGGGCAGCCGCTGGTGCTCTGGAACTGCGAGGATCGGCGGCGCACGGGACTTGGCGAGGCGAGGGGCCGGCCTTCCTCCGAGGAGGCAGGGGCCTCTTCAGAAGCCGTGCCGCTCTGTAAGAGGCCTTCGCAGACGCCTCCGAGCCCTTTACGGAAGCCCCTTCGGACGGCGCTGGGGCAAGGACAGATCCGTTCTAGAGCATTCCAGGACGCTCTCAGAGCGTTCCGGAACGCTCTCAGAGCAGGCGCGGCGCCCGATAAATCTTCCTGAGCCGCCCGGATCTCAAAGGTATTTCTGGATTCCCAGATTCCAATCTATTTCAGACGTCTTCCTATTTCAAGAGTCGAACGCTTGCCCCTCTTCCCTCCTCTTCAGGGGCGGGCGGAAGGCCAACCTACTTTCAGCGCCTTCCTACTTCATATGTCTACCCACTTCTTCCGACCGATGGGTATCCTCACCCGAATTTACCTTCGTCATGGTATCGTCTTGCCCCTGCCTCCTTGGAAGGCCGCGCCCCCCCCCCACACACACCACGAGCGACGAACCCATCCGTCCCTCGCAGTATGGACGCTGGGGCGTGATCCCGTGGAGACGCGGCCCCATACGCTCCGAGCGGGCATCCGCGCAAACACGCCCTGCATCCATGGGGCCCCCGCCGAGGAGTCTGGGCCGCGAGGCCGTGGGTAGGTATCGGGGGTTGCTGAGAGGAGGAGGAGGAGGAGGAGAAGGAGGAGGAGGTGGAGGAGGAGGTGGAGGTGGAGGAGGTGGAGGATTGCCCAAGATGCTCCCAGCTTTTTGCTCCATTTGGGAGCCCCTGGCCTCTGGGCCTCGTGAGGGGTGCTCTGGAGGCCGTGGGGGCCTCCTTGGAAGTCCTCGGGGCACCTTGGGCCAGAGGCACTCCTAGCAACGCCCGAAAACACAGACGACCCGCATGGGAAGGGTGGGCAACCTTCCCAACGGTACCCTTGCATCCTCGCCCCTTCGGCCCATGCTTAGCGACTTTCGCTGGCCAACCTCGTCCGAAAAACGTGAGCATGGGCCTCCAAGGCCCCTGCAGCCTTACCGCGCATCCTCACGAGACGGGTTGACTGTATGGCGAAGCAGTTGCGCCTCCTGCGGGCACTCGCGGCGATCGAGCCACACAGGGGGGCCTCGCGCGCCTCGGCCGTGCTCTCCGCATAGCCTCCCGCCCACGATCACGCCCGCCCCCCTCGGCGCGACGCCGAGAGGATTCTCCGAACTAC